GAGTTATCGGACTGTGTTGTAATTTGAAAGTTAAAGGCTTAATGAATTTGAAATGTTTGACAAATGGTTGAATTTTTGGATATCGGGTCTGTATTTTAGTTTCGGAACCCAGTATAGGTCCAATACCATATTTATAACGTGTCTGTGAAATTTGGTGAGAAACGAATTGGTTTGACAATATTCGGACGTCCGGTTGTGAAAATAGAAGTTCCAAAGTTTTCTTCAAAATTTCATTTGATTTGGTGTTGAATTCGTAGTTCTAGGTATTATTTTTGACAATTTGATCGTGCGAGCAAGTTCGCATGATATTTTTAGACTTGTGTGCATGTTTGTCTTGGAGCCCCGAGGGTTCGGATGAGTTTCAGATGGGCTACAGAGTGAAAATTGGACTTAGAACATTGCTGGTGTGCTTAGGTTTTTATTGCAGGCCTCAAACCTCGCAATTGTGAGGTCAAGCTTCGCATTTGTGACCACTGATGGATTCCCATTTGCGAGCTACTCATTGCATTAGCGAAGAGTAGCTGGGGAGGCCAGAGTTCGCATTTGCGAACAAAAATTTGCATTTGCGAAGTGGGACAGAGGGAGGCAGTGATCGCAAATTCCATCAAATGGTCGCATTTGTTGAGGTCATGGTTCGCAATTGCGAACATTTCTTCGCATTTTCGAGGAAAGTAGAGCTGTGGAGGTCTTCGCATTTGCGATGGATTCTTCGCATTTGCGGGATTCACATTTGCGAACCCCAGGTCGCAAATGCGACATGTGCAACTAATCAAAATGGGACTTAGACGAGATTTTTGGTTCATTCTATAAATTTTCAAACTCAAGAACCTTAGAGACGTTTTTTCAAAGAACTTTTCTTCTCCAAATCATTGGTAAGTGATTCTAAACTGGTTTCTTTCGATCTTCCAGTACATTTCCTTAGATTTCAACCAAAAATCTTGTATTTTCATGGTGAAAATTGGGGGTTTTAGGTAGAATTAGGGTTTTTTTTTGTAAAATAGGGATTATGACCTCGAATCGAGGTCAGATTCCAAAATAAATTACATAAATGGGCTCGGGGGTGAATGTGTAATTGGATTTTGGTCCGAATTTCGGGTTTGGACCAAGTGGATATGGGTGTTGGCTTTTGTTGACTTTTTAAATAATAACGTAAATTGAATTCTTTGCAATCGTAGGTAGTTCCTAAGGCTTAATTTGAATCGTTTGGTTGGTAATTTTCTAGATTCTATTGGTTCAGAGGCTTGTTTGAAAGGCAAAGTTGTGGTTGAACTTTGAGTTTGGTCCTTGGAGCGAGTTAAGTGTCGCGGTTAACCTTGACTTGAGGGAATATAACTTGTTTGTCTATTTTCTACATGATTAGATGTTGGGTACAACGTATATGTGAGGTGGCGAGTACTTATGCGTTGTTGTCGGGTTGAAGGATGCGGGTGGGACTTGATTTCTTGTAATCATTGCTTTCTTTGATAATGTTATCCGTGTTTAGAGTAGTTGTTGTTAAATTGATAATTCTTACCATGTCTACGGATTTTTCGTGATAATTGGGTATTGATTTCAAAGTTGAGGTTGGTATTGTGGAACCAAATGTTGAAGTAAGACTTGTTCTTGTGATTCTATCTCCCTGTTACTTTTTGTTCATTGCTTTATGGTAAGGGAGAGTGTTAATGCACGAAGGGTGATGTCGTGCCATACAGTGAATGTTAATGCACGAAGGGTGATGCCGTGCCACATTGGGAGTGTTAATGCATGAAAGGTGATGTCTTGCCATGTTATAAGAGTTAATGCACGAAGGATCATGTCGTACCATATCTATTAATTTATATTGTGAAGATGAGAGTAAAAGCACGAAGGGTGATGCAGTGCAGTTTCATTGTTTTACTGTGAGGTCGAGAGCAAAAGCATAAAGGGTGATGCCGTGCACTTTTTCTTACTGTGTTTAATTATTTTCACTGGTCAAAGGCATATTGATTGTCCTGGTTATCATTTCTGCTGAAATTCTCATATCTTGTATCCCCTTTAGCATGTCCCCCTCCCAATATTACTTGTTTAGCTCTTATTTGTTGTTATTTTGTACATATACTATTAATTGCATAGGTTTATTATAATATTATGTAGGTGTCTTGGCATAGCCTAGTCACTACTTTGTCGAGGTTAGGCTCGACACTTACGAGTACATGGGGTCGGTTGTACTCATACTACACTCCGTACTTCTTGTGCAGATTTTGGCACAGACCCTAGCTGATCGTGAGGTTAGCAACTGGACTTGCTTGGTAGGAGACCCAAGGTAGATCTACTGGCGTCCGCAGACCTTGGAGTCCCTTCCTAGTTTCTTTATTACACTGTTTCTTTTCTTTCAGAACAATTATATTTTCTTTCAGACTTTGTTTGTAGTAACTCTTAAAAGCTCGTGAATCGTGACACCAGATCCGAACTGTATCAGTCATTATGGGTTTTATGTTATTCCGCAAATTCAATTTTTGCTTCTGTTTAGCTTAATTCTTTTCTGTTGTTAAAATTGACTGAAGTTGACTTAAGAATCCTCTAATGTTGGCTTGCCTAGCAAGTGAAATGTTAGGTGCTATCACGGTCCCAAAGATCAGAATTCTGGGTCGTGACAGTACCAATATTTTTGAGTAATTATAGATTTATATTTAACGTAATGGTATCGTGTGACAATCGAATCCGTCTCTGGATTACATGCCATGGGCATCCCAATTCCATTTCTAGTTCTTCAATTTCAAGTCATCTAAATACGGAGAATTCATGCAATCCCATATATTCCCAACTCATCCTCAATTCTAGATTAAGTTCAGCAATTCAATCCATAACTATATTATTCATAGCAAGTCAAGCTACACTGAATTTAGGCTTAGGAGTTAGGAAATACATCTTCGTTCTCAAGAATTCCAGCATAAGAAGACAAAAGACAAGTTGGAAAAATGTGGAAAAGTAAAGGTTCAAAGATTATGCAAGTCGCTGTTTGAACAAAGTTGTGGTTGCCAGATGATAAGCATTCATATTAGCATACTTAGATGTGCTTATTATTTATTAAGCTACTATTATTTTGTGATGAAGTATCTTGGGGAGAACAGCTAAGTCGCAAATTGTCTTTCACTGGATTCGCATAACTAAGTACGGAGTATAATTTTTAACTCTTCATGAGTAAGTGCTTTTCAAATATACCACATTTTGAGGCATTATATTCGTTAAGATAGCTTGATTTTATTATCTTCTTCTTTTTAGGATCTTTTCAAGGTGCGAATTTTTTTGTTTGAGTTTGACCCTTTCCATTTTGCTATCATATATTTTAGTCAAAAGAACCCCTCTTTTATACACCAAAACAATTTCTTAGAGCTCTACTATATATATTTTTATTATATGTCGGGTTTGAAAAGGAAAGTAAATTTTATGATTGTCTTTAGTGGATTAGGGTGAAACTTTTCTTTGTTCCGTTTCTGCTGGAGCCTTCCTCCCTATTCATTTCTTTTTCATAATCATAAAGAATGGAAATGCTTAGCTTAGTAAATCAGCAACAACGGAGTAAGCTCTCATGTCCGTAAAGGACTGCTTTTCAACTAGGAAAACTTCTCGTTGTTGAGCTTGCCATTAAAGAGTAAGATGCTAATTCTATAGCAGCTCGGATTCCTTGTGCACAAGAATTTGGATTTCCTTGTCATGCACCCAAGTTTATTAGTGAAGGGACATTATTTCAAAAAGGAATTAGAAGAATTTACCTAAAAAGAGAAAAAGCCCTCAGTTTCCCTTTTCCCCTTTTTTTAATTGGAAGAAACCCACCCTTTTTATTTATTGGAGAAGGGAGGAGATAGTCGGAGGTTACCTAACCTAGCCTAATTTCAAAATATTAAGCACAGTTGCAGTGGTCCAATGTCTTTTAGGACTCGATTTAAATAAAATGACTGAGAGAAATAATAAATATGACAATTTTTTTCTTTAGATCATTTTTATATTTCATTCGTTTATATGAGAATATTTGTGTCATCTGGAATGATATCAGATGAATTATATTTGAGAATTAAAGAACACTACAATTTTGATGATTATGAATTCCCAGTTCCTCATAATGAGCCAATCACATGCAACCAAGCTATATAATCCGTTTTGTTTTGCGATGATGGTAATGCAATATTAATAATATCTTGTGGAGTATCATTTTAAAATGCAAGAAAAACTTCTTTTTTCTACAGATGGAAGCGTACACACAACGTATAATCTCTTGATATACATTATAAGATTGAGGAGGCCTTGTCATTTGTCAACGAGTTGGATGGTAATTCACGTTAACTCTTTTTTGGAATTCTGGAGGATGTTAAATCTTCTGGAGTTTAGTTTGTTTGTCATTTATCAACGAGTTAGATTAATTGACTTTCTTTCGCTGAAAATTAAACTATATATACGAGTGATTTCTTTTTTGTTCATGTATTGACTGTTGACTGCCATTAACAAAATGAAAATTTTCAGAGTAGTGAAAAAGGCCCGTCTGTATTGAATATATTTGTTTCTGACTACGTACCTAAGGATTGATGTTTCCTAGGAAAATCAATTGCATTGATTGATATTAATGTATAGTAAAAATGCTTCCCAACTAACGGGTTGAAGTAATTATATTCTGATCAGACAATGGTACACATGGTTTTGATTTTTACATTCTTATATTTGTAATTTTCGCATAAAGCGACTAAAATACAACAATTACAATTTACAATAATAACAAATTAAGTGGAATTCCACGAATAGGGTATGAGGTATGGGAAGGGTAATATATTACGCACACCTTACTCCTACCTTATAAAGGTTGATAGAATGTTTCCGATAGAACTCAACTCAAAAACAATGAAAAGGAAGTAATAAATAAATAATAGCAACAACAAGGTAATAGGCAACAGAAGCAATATAATAACAAAGATCTAGGAACACAAAATACAAGAATAGTGCTAATACTACAAGTAAGAATAACATACTGTGTAATAATAAGGGACTGAGAATAGAAAAATGCAAGACTAGTGCTAATACTACTAGTAAGACAAGGAGAAACTTTTGACTACCTGTCAACCCACAACCTTAATTCTCAATTTTCACACTTTCCTGTCGAGGGTCATACCTTTGTAAGCTAAAGTAGTGACATGCCCTGTTAAAGTAGGGACGATGTAGATAATCCTGCAAAGTAAAAGCAAAATAAGAAATCACAAAGAAGAAGTATTCTGCATGATACAGATACTCTTCCAAACATCAGGCTGAAGTCAGAGATATAGTTCATGTTTCAAGTAATTAAAAGAGCTTTTCAGTAGGAAATGGAAGGATTAGGGACAGCAATCTATACCCGAAAGCAAAAACTTTATTCGATATTGGAAACTTCTTCTGCGTCCTTTGAAGATATTGCATAGTTAACTAGGACCTGCGAACAACATTGAACTTTAAACCAAGCAGGTTTGCTGGACCAGCAAGAATTTTATAAAGTAATCAACTTTAATGCCTAGTGAATCCACCTATGTAAGTCTTTAAGACTAAGTTCAGAGAGAAATTAAATATAAGCATTCAACATTTTTGAAATGCCTGGCCACTTCATGTGGTAAGGTAAGCTAAGATTTCTAACAAAATATACTAGATAGATAACTAGGAGACAAAGTACTCGAGCAAGAGGGTAAAAGGTAACACTGACCAACCATCTAAGTTGAGCTAAGAGGAGACACCCGCTTCCCTTTCTAGTTGGTCCCGAGAAAACTTCTCCTTCTTAGCGGCAATGTTTTCACCCTAAAACAAGACAGACAAGTCCAAAGTAGTGTTATTTCACACTTGATGTGACACCTTTCAACTAACTAATTTACTTTTTGGACATCTCAAACTATTCTTTTAGAACTTGTTCTACTCAATACAACTATTTTAAACATTTTTCCTTAAGAGGAAAGCAAAGAAAGTTATTGTTATTGGACAGACAGAGTACTTCCACTTGTTTCCCAAAGAGTGCACACATACACATATACATATATACTAGCAGCAAATACTACATTGGGTGATTGTCACGGGTATAATTGGTCCCTAGGCTAATCAATACAAGAAAATGTAAATAAAATGTGAACTGGTAACGCTTATTCAATAAATACTTAGAACAGAGTATTACGTGTTTATTCAGACTTACTAAGTTGGTCTACACGTCTACGTTATTTTCCTCCTAAACTAATTAAGTGTTTGTTTAGAGTATTTTAGACGAACATTGCGATCGGCTACTTTATTAATTTGGTATTAAACGACTGCCTAATATTCATGTGCACTGTTAACCATTATTTGGCTAAGAAAATGACGTCGTCATAACTGTGTATTTGTCTAATGAGTTTTTGATGACAGGTTTGCCTCAATACCAATTATTAGTGAGATACAAGTGGAGGTGGCCAGGTGGGTGATTGATACCGAGAGAATCCAATAATCATAGAGAGTTGTAATGTACCAAATGATCATTGTCGATCGGACGTAGCGCAGAATGGCATGGTCCTTTAATTTGGTTTTACCCAAATTTTACATTTTCTCGAGTAAATGAATAAGCTAAAACACAGTTTCTCACCTATTTACGCATCATTAAAAAGGAACGTTGAAGCCATGTGTAATCAACTTAAATTGTTAGAAAGAGCAAACATTTACTTATTATATCTTCATGAGATCATCACGTGTGAGCTTGATTATTTTTCTTGAGTCAAACACATGCTTTTGATAATGATGGCGCGGCAGTGAGATTCGGACTTAGAATTTATGTATGCTCTGATACTAAGACCCTCCCTTTTTAATTTTACCCGGATATAACTTTTATATATAATTTTTGCATTAGCAATGCATATTAACTGGTTTATTTATCCGCTTCTCGATGGTCAATTTGACTAATATTCGAATTTAAATTAGATTAGATCAACTTAATATTTTAAAATTAAAATAAGATATCGTAAACTATACAAAATCTACTAGTTGTAATTTTTTTCGTGTCAATATTATACAAAAGCATATTTTAAAACATTATTCAAAGTTCGCATACTCTAACTCGCGAAAAGCGAAATATAACAAGTACTTTGGGATGGATGAAATATTTACCATAGTAGTACAACTTATTGTAGGTCACATGGAAGTTCAACTATTTCATAATATCCCCTTGCATCGACATCCTTTTGAATATATAGCATTTGTGTCTTCCTTAATTCTTAATAAATCTTTCTGAATCTTCTCTACCTTAAAAAAAAAAAACCGAACGAAAAAGTATATGCGACAATAGTTATATCTTATATGTTTTATTTATCTTGATATTGATTATTGAGCAGCCTCGAATAATTCTGAAATGCCTTGAAATATGGAACTTAGATAGATAGCTACTTACGTGACCATGTATTTGTCCAAATTTTACTGAAATTGTTCCATATTTCCATGAGTAGTTAAAAGTGGTTGATGGCAGCTATATATTGGTCCATGACCTGTAATCTAATTATAATCATTAGGTTGAAAAGTCGTCCATTAATTTTTGATCAGTTGTCTCACTTAAATTTGCTTTATTAGCAATTCATCGTTCCTAAGCTAAACTTAATTAAGAAAAAATTAAGGGTGTTATCAACCTGCAGGTTGGTTCAATGCCATACAATAAGGTCCATTATATTACTAGACAAAAGAAGATCTCCAATAAAAAGTTGCCCACCAAATGGTAACTGGTAATAGAATAAATCAACACGATCCTTGTCTTTTCTTTCAGTCTAGTTTTGGTTCCTCTTATTTCTCGAACTGTTAGGCACATAACTAAAATAGAAAAATGCTTACTTCAGAAATAGACTTACGAAAACGTATGCTTTAGCTTTATTAGACCAAACATTCTAATTAAAGTAATTACTGTATATTATACATAAGATTCTTTTTTTTTTAAGAGAGAGCAATTTCTATATAACCATTGAACTTTAAAGTACACAACCCTTACGAACCTAAGAGGAGATTTTATTTTACTTAATTAGTTCAGTTTAATTTTCTTAAAACGATAAGTATTTTGATTAAAGAATTATGATACTATCAAGTTTGGTCTTTGAGACATATATAGGTATAATACTTGCTCGTGTGCATGGCTAGAAGTGTGAATGAAGAAGAATTTTTAGATATTTGATCAGTAAGATCAATTAGAGACAATAGACAAGGGTGCGGCACCTAGAATATTCTAAACCATTTCTATCATATTCTCTACCCAAGCTAATTACTTAAGTGAAAGCAACGTAACAGTAAAAAGATCGGTATAGTAAATGATACTAATTACTATGTCCAAATATAAAATGTGAATAGTTGAATAATTTTTTATTTTTCCGGTAATTAATTAACTTTTATAAATAACCAAGTGAAGCAATTACAAACGATAGCAAACTCAACACAGGTTACTAACTCTCCTCTCTACAGAAACTTGGACAGAAATAAGGAACTCAAATGAAACTGAAAATGATACTTTATACTGCATCAAAATTGCTACTCCCTCCGTCCCAATTTTTATTTAAGTGGGAATAAAGTTTTTTTAAAAAAAATACTTTTGAAATCCGTAATATAAATTTGTCTAGTTATAAATTATTTCAGCTAAAATAAATAATTTAAAGTTACATTGTTTCTAAAAAAGTATCATTTTTCGTTTTTTACAAACTAAAAAGAAAAAAAATAAAAGTATTACATAAATGGGGAAGAAGGAGTAAATAACTTTGATATGTGTCAGCATCAATACAGCTTGATCAGAATTAAGACAGCTTAATCTAAACCCTTCAATTTCTCCCAGCTCCATTTGAAAGAGAAACAACTCCTAAATCACTCTTCTTTTGCACCTTCTTCGATAATAATGTTTCCCAAGTGATCGTTTTTCTTAGTTTTTCAACTACGTAATATACTTATTGTTGAAGTATGCGATCATCTCATCTAAAGCGGTAAGCTGTTAGAGAACATATTTTTATTTACTTAATAATTATATCTCCAACATGCCCCTTTAATTTGCCTGCGGTGGGGTGGTGGGATTCGAAACCAGGACATCTGCCTGCTCTGATACCATGTTGCAGTATGTAACCATCTCATCTAAAAGGTTAAGCTGTTAGAAAGAATATACTTTTATTTACTTAATTATATCTCCAACGGCCGTTTATATTAGGACTATACCACTATAAATTGTCCACCTTTTCGCGTCTCCTCTTCTTATCTTCACATTTGTTTCACAAATTCCATTACCCCCTCCAAGAAAACTACTTCTCCTCTCCTCTCCTCTCTTCTCCTCTCTTCTCCTCCCACTGAAGATTATACCTTTCAGCAGCTTTTCTCTGCAAATTTTTGTTTATAAAGCAACATTAATGGAGTTCTTAAACATTGACAAATTGGTTTGTGCACTTTTCTTTCCTTTAATTTCCATTCCTAAACTTGTCCACTTCATTTCCTGTTATGCACATCTTAATTAATCTCCATTCTTCAAGTGCATGCATGAACATTCTGGTATTTCTTGTCTTCTTTTTCTTTTTACTAGTATGGTTTATTCTGGCTATCCTTTTTTTTTTTTTCTTTTTTTTACTGATAATGCAGTCTTTGATCAAAATTTTCAAGCTAGCCAGCCACAACAACAAGTAAAATTTTCGTATCAAATTTGATCTGATGATCATAGCCCGGAAAATATAGTAGATGTAACATGTAATCTGTTAAGTTGCATAGATGATATTAAATGTATACTGTATGTATAAACTCTTTTCGTGTTATGGCCTCCAATAACCATAATCTTAAAATCTTAAGGTGCACATATCATCATTTCGTTTCTTGCTATAGATGCCTGGGCAAGCTTTACTCTGGATGTTTTTCATATCAAATTTGATCTGATAGCCTGGAAAATTAACCTGTTATAATCAGTTAAATTGCATAGATGATACTTTATACTGTGTGTAACTTAAATTCTTTTTGTATTATGGCATCCAAAACCAGAATCTTAAAATCTTAAGGTGCACATATCATCATTTCATTTCTTACTATAGACGACAGAGCCAGCTTTGCCCTGGATGTTTTTTCTTATAAAATTATACCTCAAGCTACTCAAAGTTGATTAATGGGTTAGAAGTGGTCTTCTTTTCGTTCTTTTCTTTTTCGGGATCGCCCTCTATTTTTACTTCATTTCATGTCAGAAATTAGGAAATGTTCTAGCTTCTCAAAAAAGAAAAGAACATTGAATTAACTCTTGATAGTTTCCTAATTTCGGAGTACTTACTACAAAATAATGGACTATATCTAGTTTTTTCTTCTTCAAAATGTTCAAGTATTAGTTCTTCAGGTTATATGCATGTGCTACTTTTCTTTGTTTGTTTTCCATTATTTACCTTTCATATTATCTTCATTGATCACCGGAATAACTCTTTTTAGTTTGGTTTCCTTTTCTTTTCCAATCACTACATGGTATACACATTACAAAAACTTTAAAGGATTTTTACGTTATATATGAGAGTATCTTAATTTGAATTGAGGCTATTAAATACTCCGTAGTGTTTCTTATTGTTAAGTGATATGATATTGTAAAAACCTCTTTTTTGCAGTCAATGAAAGAAGTAAGAATCCCATAAAAATTTAAATCACGGGAGTATTGTCAGAGCTTGCCGTGTAGGCTTCTATTTTAAATTGAATACGAATATTAGATGTGCAAGTAATTCATGCAAAATTAACGTGCAGTAGTGCTATAATAGCAAATTGATAGCGTAGAAATGCCACGGCTTCAAATACATATATACATTCTGATAATAAGAGAAGCCAATCACGTCAAGTAATATTAATGACTCAGAAAGAGATCTTCAACTATAAAAGACTACTCCATTGATTGTTGCAAATGTGCATTTATTTGCTGTTGCAGACAAGATGTAATTATTTTACGTTTAACGTGTAAAAAGAACTGAGATCACGTCACGTACCTACCTCAACATACACGGGTTGTCCCTTTCATGGGATTAAGGAGAAAGCTACCCTAAGAAAACATAGGAGAAGTAAAATTAATGTTTGTGCTAAAAAAAGAAATATTTATGTCTTGAAAACCAAAGAAAATACTTCCTCCATTCCAATTTATGTGAACATGTTTGATTGAGCACGAAGTTTAAAAAAAATAAAGATTTTTGGAACTTGTGATCCTAAACACGTCAAAAAGGGTCCAGAGTATTTGTGTGGTTATAAAAGCTTCTCATTAAGGGTAGAATTGAAAGTTTAAGCTAAATTGTTTCCAAATTTAGAAAGGAGTTATTCTTTTTGGAACAAACCATTAAAGAAATAGGTTCACATAAACTGGAACGATGGGAGTATTATTTTTGTTTACTTTAATTTTTTCTCTTTTTGTTGTACGATTTCTTATTTTTAAATTCCTTTAAGTTATTTATGATATTTTTTTAAGTAAAAATGGTATTTGAAAATTAGAGTTGTGTTTGAAAATGAATACAATGTGGAGTTGTTTTTGAATTTTTGCGGGTGATTTGAATTGAAAATTTTGGAAAACAACTTTTTGTAGTTTTTCAAATTTTCGAAAAATTGTGAAATCCAAACACTTATTGTGAAAAAAAAAATGAGTTTTATCCGAAAAAAGTGAATTATTTTCTAATGGCCAAACGGGCCCTTAGGTATAAGTGTGGTGATGAACAAAAAGGAGGCAGCACGTGCACTAAGCAAACCATACTGATTAACTAAGATTAAGTCATAAATTAAGGTGAGAACGTTTATTCATGGAATAAACGTCGGATAAGTTTTACCTTATACCTTGAACGTGACTTTCTGACACACGACGACTGTTAACTAGCAGAAATTTTCGGATTAATAGATAGTGTTCCTTGTTTTCTTTTAGCAGGGTCAGAGGGAGGAGAAGTTAGGGAATTCAGAGGAAGAATTAACTCTTGATGGAACTGTGGATAAGCATGGTCGTCCTGCTGTGCGTGCCACTACTGGAAGATGGTTTGCTGGTGTCCTATTACTTGGTAAATCTATTTAAATTCTGTCAACTTACAGATTTCTCCTTTTACATATTCATGTCAAAATGATTTATAACAACTACATTGATAGTGTAAAAATCTGTGAATTTGTTACTTAACGTATCGACTTATTTTGATTTTGGATGAATATATAGTGAATCAAGGTTTAGCTACACTAGCATTCTTTGGAGTTGGAGTGAATCTAGTCCTATTTCTTACTAGAGTTATGGGGCAAGATAATGCTGAAGCAGCCAACAATGTGAGCAAATGGACAGGGACTGTTTACATCTTCTCCCTTTTGGGAGCTTTCTTAAGTGATTCCTACTGGGGTAGATACAAGACTTGTGCCATCTTCCAAGCCATTTTCGTTGCTGTAAGTTATTCTACATGTCCATTTTCTCATTTATATATGTCGAAATATACAGATAGTGTAAACAAAAGATTTTTACATTATTATTAGTAGTAGTATATTTTAACCATTGGAGTTACCTACCTCATTTTCCATGCTACTAATCGAATCGACTTATTATTGATAATTACATGTAGTTATCTTTTAGATCCCCCAATAATGTAAAAGTTCTTTTTCCGCGCATAAAAATTAGGCTCATGTTGAAGTTTGTCTTTTGCAGGGACTAGTATCATTATCATTAACTTCATACATTTTCTTGATCAAGCCTAATGGTTGTGGAGATGAAAAAATGCCTTGTCGATCCCATTCAACTGTCCATATTGTGCTCTTCTATATGTCCATTTACTTAATTGCTCTTGGCAATGGAGGGTATCAACCTACCATTGCAACATTTGGAGCAGATCAATTTGATGAAGATCATCCTCAAGAAAGTCATTCAAAAGTGTCTTTCTTTAGCTATTTCTACTTAGCATTGAATCTTGGATCTTTGTTTTCAAACACTATCTTAGTTTATGTTGAGGATAAGGGAATGTGGACACTTGGTTTTTGGGCATCGGCTTGCTCAGCTATTTTGGCACTAGTTCTTTTTCTTATTGGGACGCCTAGGTACAGACACCGAAAACCTACAGGAAATCCCATTTCAAGATTTTGTCAAGTGCTTGTAGCTGCAATTAGAAAATGGAAGATAGAGCAACCTTCAAATGGATATGAGCTATATGAAGGTGATGGAAGAGACCTTGCTGATAATGGCAGTCGAAACATACTGCATACAAAAGAATTTAAGTAAGTTATTCTTTTGAAATTTGAACCTTATTCTAAGATTATTTTAGTCTTAGATTTATTAGCTAAATGAGAGGAGTGCAAATAGCACCTAGATGGAGCAATTTTTGCTACATCTTAGCACCTCGAACCCCCTTCACCAGTGGCCGAAGCCACATTGGTCCAAGGATGGTCAATTAAATCCCCTTTGCCAGAGTATTAAATTTTAAGTTGGTGCAATTTTTGTTATTATACACACACACCCACACCCACACATCCTATTGTTCCCCTCGTTCCAATCCTGCCATCGTTTCCAAATTGGTTGTTGTTTGTTTACATATATAAGTGCACGTGGATATAATTATAACACGATTTTTTTGGTAACAGATTTTTGAACAAAGCTGCTATAATCACATCAAAGGAGAGATTTGATAATCCGTGGCGCCTTTGTCCAGTGACTCAAGTGGAAGAAGTGAAATGCATTCTAAGACTATTTCCAATTTGGCTTTGTACAATACTCTACTCTGTTGTGTTTACTCAAATGGCCTCTTTATTCGTGGAACAAGGCGATGCCATGAAAACAACAGTGTCGCGATTTCACATCCCTCCTGCAAGCATGTCAAGCTTCGATATCCTTAGTGTTGCAGCATTCATTTTCATCTACAGGCGAGTTCTTGACCCCTTCGTTGCCAGTCTAAAGAAGTCTTCTCAAAGAGGACTAACCGAGCTCCAACGAATGGGAGTTGGTCTTATTATTGCTATAATGGCAATGGTAGCAGCTGGAATAGTGGAGCATTTCAGGTTAAAATATGCCAGCATAGATTGTTCTCATTGCACCAATTCAAGTTCTTTAAGCATTTTGTGGCAAGTCCCACAATATGTACTAATTGGAGCATCAGAGGTTTTCATGTATGTTGGACAATTGGAGTTTTTCAATGGACAAGCACCAGATGGATTGAAAAGCTTTGGAAGTGCACTTTGCATGACTTCAATTTCACTAGGGAACTATGTCAGTAGCTTGCTGGTTTCCATAGTGATGAGAATTTCGACTACGGATAATATGCCTGGTTGGATACCTGGAAACCTCAACAAGGGTCATTTGGATAGATTCTACTTCCTCTTAGCAGCATTGACAGCAGCTGATTTTCTAGTATACCTCCTTTGTGCTAAGTGGTACAAGTACATTGAGTTTGAGGAAAGAAGTATTAGAAAGCAAGTTGAAGAAAAGCAAGGTGATTTGAGATTCTAGGCTTGCAAATTCTTGAAAATTGATAAAATACAAAATTCTCATCTCCCATCACCCAATGTTAGCAGGCTGGTTGGCTTTTCAAATGGAGGATTCATTGGTGCTAGCTACTTATGGTTGGTTGAGGAAAGTCATATGAATAAGAGTGTAAAAACCTGTTTACATTGTTAGTGCATACTCTTTTAGTTAAGCGTAACTAGACTTAAAAGATGGGTAGCAATCTACATCACCCATTATAGATTGTGAGTTATGTTCATTTAAAGTTAGGTCTTATGCGTTGGACACATTTTACTCCTGAATAGTATACACATTTTACTCAGCTTCGATCATATCAACTTCATATATTCGTCTTACAGTTCTACAATACATATATCCGAGGACTGTTGGGACTTCTCTGTATATACACCCTGCTGTATTCTAAATGAAAAATCGAGCCTAAGGACCGTTTGTGTAAATATATTATCAAAACACAAAAGCAAGTCTTTTGATCGCCCTGCTAATATAATGTGTATACAATATGTTAGGACTGCTTTGTATATCCACCCTGCTGTATTCTGAATGAAACATCGAGCCTAAGGATCGTTTGTGTAGGGATGGCAATGGGGCAGGGCGGGTTTGGCAAAACCCACAAAACTTTCACCCCGCCCTGCTTGGACCTGCCCCGCCCGGCCCCATCTAATTTTTCTCTTCTTTTTTTTTAAAAAATAAAATAGTTTGACATTTATTATTTTATAAAATGGAGAGTTTAATAGAATCACATAAATATAAAACTGAGAAAGTATTACGCTTATCTTCCAAAATAAATGGTTACTATCATTTCCTATTACTAATACCATATCTTGACTTATGTAATATCATTTTGATGAGACTTATACAAATTGGTTAATTATAAATCAAATAAATTTTAAAATGCACATTTAGAATTAGAAAAACAGAGTATTAAATAAGGAAAACATAGATTTGATTCAGCGTAATTCATGTTAATTTCCTTGATTATAGTTGTTACTTTCTGTTAATNCAAGTCAGCCTTTTAATTTAAATTAAAAGAATGTGAAATTGTAGTTGAAATGATTGTTTTGTTTCAAAAAAGCTAAAATTCAAAGTTGCCCCACATTGAACCCGTACCCCGCCTCCGCATAAGAGTAAACCCATCCCGCTCCGCACCCGCCCCATTGCCATCCCTATCTGTGTAAATTTATTATCAAAACACAAAGCAAGTCTTTTTTTTTTATCGCCCTACTAATATAATATGTGTATATAATAAACTGATATAATCTGATATTTTATACTTCAATGCCACACAAGAGGGGGATGGTGATTTGTGTGGTGTCCAATTTTCGAGTGCACAGATTATAGAAGGACCTGGTTCTTCTTTATGTTCCTTATACTACTATTATGGAAATAATAAATGCGGAAAGTAAAGAACACAAGTATTTTTAAGTGAAAAATACTTGGCTCAAAAGGTGAAAAAAATCACGACCTACTACTCAGTAGGATTTTCCCTAACACTTCACTAAATCACTGAGCCAAAATAACATTTACAAAAGCTCTTTGTAATCTAAAGATTACCTCTTATCCCGTTGTGGCAACTGGCCTCTAACTGTTGCAACAACTTCAAATTAACTCTAACTAGAATACTCAGAGTAACTAATATAATTGCTTCTAGATAAAGCTGAAAGATACAAATTGAAAACACCCACTACAATGAAACTAGAATAAAAGACAGACACTTGGAATTGGTTCTCTATCTGGTTCATGTAACTTCAGATTCGCACATTGAATCACACAAGAATTGCTTGCAAAATGCCTTGCTATTTTGCTCTCAACTCACGTTTAACTTCAGCTTTTGTGCATGCCTGTAAAGTGAGAATATCTTGCAATTTATAGAGTTAGAAGAATAGGAAATAACTAGAGTTCCAATCCTGTACTCTCTCTTGGTGGAAGAGTTCTAGTTAACTTCAACTTCTAATTCCTTCCTTATCTTGGATAGTGTTCTCTTTGAGTAAGGAGTCCTTCTCCTTATCAATTATGCAACCTTTTCAATCAAGAGATATCAGATATAACAAGTTAAGCTTATCCCCCTCACGTGCATCCCTTATGCTTGAATCTGCCCGTGTCTATGTACACTGTGGATGGACCTAGTTCATGTTTGAGTTCCTTTATCAATCTTCAAAATAAACTTCACTTAGGCCAACAAATTTCCCTTTTTTGATGATGACAAACTCTGTATTTTTCATAAGCGTAGGCCCTATTTTAACTCAGCTCAACATCAACACAAATCGTTATACTCACTAATCATCAAGGACTAGGTTCATCAGGTTATAAACATTACTGTCTAAAGTAAAAGCACAACCTAATTTCCCTTTTTGGCATCATCAAAAAGTTGCATAATCATGTTAGATAATCGGATTTCAATAGAAATTACTCATGGCCACTGGGCTACTTCAAATACAATCATGGATTTAATCATCATCTATCAATCTAAGGATAGTAGCCATCAAAGAAATATCAATAAATAAAGTAGTGAATTTCATTGATTGATAAGATCCCATCACAAAGAATAAGAAGAAATAAAAATAATGGATCATGAGCAAAAGAAACAAAAAATTATGAATTGAGTCACTGGTTGATCTACACTAGGCTAGGAGGCTTAAGGCTGGGAAGGACCAGGGTCTTGGTTTTTGGCTTGGAGCAGTTTCAGCATATCCTGAAGAATGCCATCATTCTTCTCCTTCTCTTTTGCCAGCTCAGTTCTGAGAGCATCTCTCTCAGTCTCCACTTCTGCCAACCTCTTCTTTAGCCTATCAATCTCAGCATCCTTAGCCCCACTTTCTAGCACCAAAGCTCGCACTTTGCTGTTCGCTGGTATCGTTTTAGATGAACCAGGTTCTTTGGGAGTGGTTTGGACTTTATAGTCACAAGAAGTTAGAGGTTTGCCCCAAAATGATCCTTGCTTGTACCAACTTCCCATTTCTTGATGGGTACTTTGACGTGTGCAAGTACAACAGTGAGAATAAAATCATAGGGTATGGCGTGAGTTTTGGTGCCATTCAGAAACCTGTCAAGAAGCTGGATGATAAATCCAGGCCAATTGATTTGCCTTCCACTGTCCAAATATTCCATAAGGACCAGGTCCATGAATGTGGCAATGTACCTCCTTTCCTGTCTGGGCAGCACAACTTTGTTAACAAATTCGAACAACACTTTATGAGGTGGCTTCATCTCACTTTTGTAAATAGCCTTGGGCTCAAGCTCCTCTTTATTGTCACCAAACTTCCTAGTGATGGCAAGGGCAGTAGGGAGATTCTCTCGACTTGGCCATTTGAGTTTCTTATAATAATTGTACCCTTCAGTAGGTATACCTAACATCTCTCCCCAATTCTTTGTCATCAAACCTCATTGCCACCCCTTTGACCACACTGGTGACCCTACCATCTTTGATCTTACAATTCGCCATGAACTCCCCAATCTCTATTCTGGCCAGCTTTTCATCCATCTGAAGGACCATTGTCACGACCCTAAATCCGGACCCGGTCGTGATGGAGTCTCTTGATGTTCTAAACGTCAATACCACACAAGNAATTTTCCCAAGCTTCCACTAAATCACTGAGCCAAAATAGCAAAACACTTTGTAAACCTAAGTATTAACTCTAATCCCGTTGTGGCACACAGCCTCAACTATTGCGACAACTTCAAGTTAGCTTATAACTTGAACACTCAAAGTAACTAATACAATTGCTTCTATGAAAGCTGAAAGGTGCAACTTTAAACCACCTACTACAATTGAACTAGAACAAGAAAAAAACACAATGGAACTGGTTCTTCTATCTCGTTCAAGTAGTTTTAGGAGTGCACACTCAAATCTCACATAAATTGCTTGCAAAATTGCCTTGCTCTTTTTCTTTCAATTTAGTTTAACTTCTGCGTTTGTTAATCCCTATAAAAGAGAACAATCACTGTCATTTAATAAGTTAGAAATCAGAGTTTGATTGGGACTCAATTTCTGATCTTTTATCGTAGTTGAGTCCTTGAAGATATCAAACTCTAACACTCTCTTTATCCGGATTGTGGTCTCTTCATATAAGGAGACTTTCTCCCCTTATCCAATATGCAACCTTTTCGATCAGATCAGGAGATATTGCTGTTTGATCAGTAGGACTTATCTCCTTCACGTGCATCTCACATGTGTAGGTTGATCATGACAGTACTTCACAAGATGGACCTAGTCCATGACTGAGTTCATTTGTCATTCTTCAAAACTTCACATGTTTTTGGGCCAACAAATTCCCCCTTTTTGATGATGACAAACTATCTCCTTCACGTGCATCTCACATATGTAGGTTGATCATGAAAGTACTTCACAAGATGGACCTGATCCATGACTGAGTTCATTTGTCATTCTTCAAAACTTCACATGTTCTTGGGCCAACAAATTCCCCCTTTTTGATGATGACAAACTCTGTGCTTTCTTGTAAAAATTCAGTTTAACCATCAACACTAAACTTAGAAAATTTTCTTTTCATAAAGGACCAAGTTAATTAGGTCATAAATAACACTTATTTCAGAATATGTGTAAAGCACAATATCTCTTTCCCCTTTTGGCATCATTGAAAAGTTGCATATACAATGTGAATTCCAGATTTTAATAAGTACTCTTGGCCACTGGGACAACTACAAGTGCAATCATGGTGTAATCGTCAGTAATCAAACAAACATATTTAAACTATCAAGGTCAGAATAATCATTGAACAAGAGAAAACATCAGTTGTCATTGAGAGAGATATGTTGCCACTAACAATCCACAAAAAGAAAGTAAAACATCTAAACCATGAGCAAACAACAGAAAAATCCCTAATCTGGGTCACTGGGGATACTAGAACTAGTTCAGGAGATAGAACCTAGGAGTCCTAAGGCTTGGAGGAACTAGAGGGTTGAGTTTGGAGACGATTCAGCATATTATGAGGAATTCCATCATTCTTCTCCTTTTCTTTTGCAAGCTCAATTCTGAGACCATCCCTCTCAGCTCCACTTCAACCACACGATCCTTGAGCCTAGCAATTTCAGCATCCTTAGCTGCACATTCCTGAACCAAAGTCCTAACCTTGTTGTTGATGGGTGTCCTCAAGGATGAACCAGGTTCAACTGGGATGGCATTGACTAGATAGTCACAAACAAGAAGAGTTTTGATGCCAAAGTGTTCTTTGCTCGAGGCCATTTCATATTTCTTCAGAGGCGCATTGAGCCTGTCCAGAACTGTGGTTAGTATGAAGCCATATGGGGTAGTATGAGCCTTGGAACCATTTATGACCCTGTCTAGCAGTTTGACTAT